TTTAAATCGTCGATCAAATACAACGATACCAGATTTCATTAAATATGGCAGACAGGGAAGATTTAATTATTTTTTAAAAGTTTTCCAGCATCCTTACGTTTTTCCGTTTTATAGGAGTACGGGAGTACATAAAATTTCTAAATTATATATATATATATATATATATATATATATATATATATATAAATGCAAATGGATGGATATAGATCCGACAGAATGAAGAAAATTTGGAAAAAACAAACCAAAAATCCTTAAATGCAATTATGTTGTTTAAAATGAATGAAATGTCGACGTCTGACGTTTCGGTTTAATAATTTTCAGTTATCTGTTTTGGATAAGACTTGTTTTTTATGTCCATCGTCTTTGTCAAATTGAACTGAATTGTATTTTAATGAATATTGTCTTGAAGAAGGTTTATTAAACCGAAACGTCAGACGTCGACATTTCATTCATTTTAAACAACATAATTGCATTTAAGGATTTTTGGTTTGTTTTTTCCAAATTTTTCTTCATATATATATATATAATTTATCTCTTGAAAATATATTTTCAATTGAGCACCGTTGAACAAGCTAAATGCGAAGCTCTTCAGTAAAATGAGTGGAGCACTTTGGCTGATTGGCATTTGCTTACGTTTGTAAAAACAATACGCTAGATTTTGCTGATTCGTTCCGTCGAGTGATGATGGCTCATTGTTACAACCTCTGACTGATACCAAATCTGTTGGTTTTTAATTCGGGCTTGAAGCATTCGGTTGTCTAGTCGCACTGAGAAGCTGTGATACAGCGAAACAATACTGTCTGTGAATGACAATATAAATATATATATATATATATATATATATATATATATGTGTGTGTGTGTGTGTGTGTGTGTGTGTGTGTGTGTGTGTGTGTGTGTGTGTGTGTTTGTGTGTCACTGAATGTCAAAATGTCTCAAACCAAAACGAATTATTTATTATAAATTCTAACGTTCATTGAATTTAATTCAAATAAAAAGTGGTCTCAAAAGAAAAAAAATAGTGCAATAATTATTTATTATAATTTTACATGAACGGAAAAAAAATCTTAATTTACTACAAAGATGCATTCTTGTTTCAAATAAAAAATAAATTTAAAAAAAATAAATGATAAAAAAAATAGAAAAGAAATATATTTAAATAAATTAAATAATAATAATAAAAACCATGAAAATAAATATAAAAATAAATAATTTATTGTAAATATAAGTATAAAGTAAATAATGTTAAATAAAAAAAAAAATAAATTTAAAAACAAATAAATGATAAATAAATTAAAAGGAAACAGTTTTATATCGAATTTAGAACAATTTTAATAAAAATTTTACCTTTAAAATAATAATAATAATAATAGTCAATATAATAATAATAATGGAAATATCAAAGATAATTAAAAAATTTTTAAGTTAGTTAATGACAATATAATAGTTTAACCCGTGAAAATGAAAAATGGATCTTAGAAAATAATAGTAAACATGTTTTGCTATTTATTTGTTTAAGTTCAGTAAAATTCTAGATCAGTTTAAATCTATATCGGTGACGACATTTACAATTACAATTTGGTTTAACAGCTTTTTGATTATCGAATTTAAATTATTCTAATTTTCTCTAAAAAAAACAGATTACATCTACCTTTAAAATTATATATATATATTGTGAAAAGCGAAAATTTTATATGATTTTATATATATATAATATGAGGTTCAAATTTTATGTATATCCCTCAATAATGTAAATAAATTTCTTGTAAAGAGGAGTTAAAAATTTTATTTTTAAGTTGGGAAAAAGATTGCCTGTGTGTATATAGTTGTTTTTGTATATACCCGTATAAAATCTCAATATGGTTAAATATGGTGGTTGATCTTATTTTCTTTGGAGTAAATGGTGGAATAATTGGGTGCGACACATTCGAATGCTTGATTTCTGCATTTTCATTCAACTGGATAAAGTTCGCATATATATTTATATACAATTAAATTTTATTTGATTTATATTTATTATTACCTTGAGCAGTTTAAAAAACCCTTACAAGTAATCTCAATCTGTAAGGGGAAATGATCATAACTATGAGGTAATTTTAATTCCCACTGTATGTAATTTATATAGCCTGTTGAATAAATACACTGAGATCGCTTTGTGGGTCATTTTTGATATTTTATATGTTATTGCATAAAATCTATGTGTATACCAACGGATTTTATTACACACACGTATATGTTTACACACACACACACACATATATATATATATAATATATATATATATATATATATATATATAGAAATTTCTTTATCCTGTTTTTCAACAAATTAAAAAAATAATAATATATTTTTTTTTTTTTAGAGTTTTATTTATATTAAATAATATATATATTTATATATATATATGGATTTGAGAATCAAAATAACCAGTGATTTCTCAATGTCTCAAATTTTCGAATTCCAAGTGAACGTCTTTTTTTTCGTAAAGGGCTGTAGTTGCTCTCTTCCTTTTTTTTTTTTTATAGTGTAAATAGCAGAACAGAATGGATTCTATGGCCTTGAATAGCAACTGGTGACCGGACGGAGAACCGTCTTGTCTTGGACAACTCTAAACATATATATTTTTTTTTTCAAATTTAAAAATTGCGGAGTTTTTAATTTTAATTTAAAAATAGTAAAAATTAAAATTATTTTAAAGTCTAAAAGGCTATAATGGCAGGATTCCGGAGGAAAAATTTTATAACTTTAAATTTTGCACCAAATCTCTTTTGGCTCTGAAAATGTCTAGTTAGGTTAATCTGAAACTTTAGCACCATATATATATATATATATATATATATATATATATATATATATATATATATATATATATATAAATATATATATGGATTAGGAATATAATTTCTTGTATGGACAGAGCGGTATAAAAATATACTTCGGGAATAATGCAATGAATTCAAATTATTCAGACGTAGTGCACCAAACTTTTCTGTTTCGTCCGTAGTATTAGGGCGTTGGTATATCAAGGATATACTAATGCCTACAATGGGGAATTGGAAACTGGAAATGATGTCTATAATAGGGGACCGAAAGTGAATTATTTTCTTACTAGTACAGCCGTTATATCTATGCTATTCATGTGGTTTAAAATGTAATCTTTATCGTTTCAGTTTTACAAATTGCCCGGTCAAGAATAGTTGATATCAACTCATCCAACAATGGTGGCTCCCCGCCCAAAAGTTCCTCCATTGTAAGTAAAATTATACACGAGTTACCTTCCTTTTGGCATTTCTGTACTTGAATCTCAGTCCTGATCTACATGTCAACACATTGACTTCTTTCAATGTAGAACGGGCAACGTGATTGATTAATATTCCTGATATTAGATTGGTCCTGCCCTATGACTAACGTCGAGGTTGTAATCTCGCCCTGACATCAACATATAAGATTGAATGATAAGACTCAAGGCAAGAATTTACCTGTCGTGTTTTCTCTCGTGGCTAATACTAAACAAAAATTCATAAATAATTTAAGGTTTTGTTTGTCGACTTTATGCGTAAAAAAGTACAATGTTGCCAAAAAAGTCCTTGCCGTTATTGATTTATTTTTTTGAAAATGTATACATTGAAGACAACTGGCGAAGTTCTGCGATTTTTGTTATATTTTGTCTTGCATGCGATTTCTTTTTTAAACATAGTGTGTGTAAGAACTATAACAAACGCTCGGATTCAAGTGTTCATTTCTTATTAATATGTCCTAAATAGAAATCTCTTGTACGCATTGAAGAAAATTATGCTAAAATGCTTAACGAAAATGCCTTGTCATTCATCTTCAATGAAACCTAAAAGAAGGATTGCTTATATATATATATATATATATATATATATATGAAATGGACAAAGTCCGACAAATATTTTAAGACATTTTATGTTTATACATTCTTTTTATAGATACAAATATTTAAGTAAATGCTATGTTTTATAATAAACAGTATTAAACAAAATTTACCGGCCTGAATGTCCGAGAAATTTTCACAGAAAATATTTGTCCTCCGATAGTAATCAAACCTGCATCTTATACGGAACCGTCATTTAGCTTGACGTACCTTTAACCGATTAGCCACAAAGGAGCGTTTGGTTAGCCAGATCGAATTTACTGTATTTAAACTCAATCTTCCATGATTCTCTCACGTACATTCATATCTGCTCATGGCGTATCCACATGTAAACAAATGATGTCACACATTATGAAATGGACAAAGTCCGACAATTATTTTAGAACATTTTATGTTTATACATTCTTTTTATAGATACAAATATACAGAGCAAATAATTATATCTGCTCTACTTTGTATTGAACACTCTTTTAAGAATAATAATTGTTCGTTATTGGAATTCATTCCGTATACACCATTATATATATATATATATATATATATATATATATATATATATATATATATATATTTAGTAATATAACTATGAACAAAATACAATGTGCTGACCGTGTTTGGAAAATAAAACATTCCTATAAGACTAGATATATACATAAAATCTATCATACGCACACAATATAAAAAAAATGACAAAAACCGTAATCCCCGTATAATATATAGACTGCGCCAGTATTTCGTCAACCAGATATTTTTCTTATTGGTGTCCTGCATTCTCAGTACGCAAGTCACGTTCGACAATTGTCATTGCAGGTCGACTATTCAATTTCTTTATAACACGGAATAAATAAAGGAATAAAAAATTTTCACCGATTCGTCATTGCCACTTTTTCATCACCCGAGGGAAAGAAAAATAATTTATAAATTAATTACAGTGCAGCATAACCGACAAAAATCCACAGACTGAGATAGATAGATAGATAGATAGATAGATAATATGATCTATGTTAATAAAGATAGACAGATATGAAGAGAATGAGATAAATAGATAGAAACGAAATTAGATCGAGAGATAGTTATAAACGAAATTAGATAAATAGAAACAAAATTAGATAGATAGATAGATAGATATAAACGGAATTAGATAGATAGATAGATAGATAGATAGAAACTCGATAGATAGATAGATATAAACGGAATTAGATAGATAGATAGATAGATAGATAGATAGATACCACACCCCCTTCTGATATCCCAAGCATCTTTTTAATCCTTCACCTTCAGTCTTTATCCCTGTTCTGCCGGCTATTAAAACAAACTTATTTCCCACTTCGTTTATTAACTTCAATCTGATCTGTGGGTATTAGATTATCCTGGCTCCCTCTTCTCATTATATGGCACACAGATTTTAACCCTCTTTTCGACTGTAAATATCAGTTTCTTTTTAATTCCTACTTTTCGCCATACCTGTTGTTCACATGTTGTGTCCGTGGCATTCTCAGTTAAAATGCCTAAAACCTGAGGTTTATAAACCATCTCCTCCTAGTGTCAGTAAACTCACTTCTTTGTTTTTATTTTCCATATACCGTGACGACTTTAATTTCTTCTTGATTCAGATGAAAACTTGGAAGACTTTCAATATATTTCAGTGAAATTTTCCCTTTTCATATTATAGCATTTAGATATAGTTTAGAGAGAAGGAAAAAGAAGTCATCGGTTTAAATCAGTGGCTCTTAAACGTTTTCAGTCCGCTTCCCCACTTCCACTTGGCGAACCAAGTCATTTCCCTCCTCCACAAAAATTTCGCCAGAAAGAAGAGAACGCAAGTGCTTTCATGACAACATTGTGGTTTTTATTATATAAAAAAAAAAAAAAAAAAAGAGGACACTAACAAAAGAATTAATCAATGGAAACTTTGGACTTATTTTTGCGATACTAATTAATCAATATCAGGGTGGGGGTCAGTTCTTGAGCACACCTCAGATTGGTCTTGACATTCAGACGATTGTGGAACTTGGTTTTAACATTGGCAAGAGCAGGGGACCCTGCCTCACTCAAATAAGGTGTCGAAAACTGCATGAGGGCCCAGTTTGGGATACAGAACGAAAACGGACAGCCAAAAGCTCTCCAATTCCACAGAATTGTATTCTTCCTTCGCAGAAGAATCATGGTAGAGCGCAAGAAATTGTTCCTGAAGTGTCTCTTCAACAGTCCCAACACCACACCGAAATGGATTTCTAATCTACGCGGCTTGAGCAACAATCATTGGAAAATATCTTTGGAACTCATCTTGAAGAGGAGTGAGGTGATCAGCAATATCTTTAGCAATTTCTTTCGGATTAACATCATCTCCAATACAATCACTCAAATTCACAAAAAACGCATGATTACCCCTTTCCATTCGGCCATTAAAGAGGTCAAGTTTGGCCACAATTGCCTTCATTTTGTCTATCTGGATCAGACTGTTCATATTATTGACTAGAAGCTTCTTACTGAGTTCATTAGGCTCCCCCAAAACATCGGTCAAGTAGGCTAGTCAAATATGGAGATCATCATTTCTCAACTCTTCCAAGAGAATAGACTTTCCTTGTTCCTTGAGGAACAACACAACCTCATTGAACAGTTCAAGCATTTTGCCTTTGGACAGGCATTAGACTTGCATATTAAAAAGCATGGCATTCAAAACTTGATAGAATCGCTGAAACAGCTTTGTGTTAAGAGCGGAAGTTTTGATGTAGTTGACCACTTTAATCACAACCGACAAGTCATCAAAAAGGTATCTTGGAAGAGTTTTTGACGACAGTGCTTCTCTGTGAAGAACGCAATGAGTAGATTGGATTAGTGGATTCTTTTGCTGGATGAAGGTAACTAATCCGAATCTTGAATCCAAAATTGCAGGTTCTCCATCTGTGCACTCACCAACCAAGCAATCCCAATTGAAGTTACGTTCTTAAAAAAACGAGGACAAAAGCTATGTCGCTTGTTTTGAGCGGTTGGCAAAACAGAAAATCCTCCTCAAATTTCTCTTCGTGGATGTACCCCACAAAGACCAACAGTTGAGAAAGACTTGCAATATACACGGACTTATCCGTTCAGATGGCAAAGAAAGGTGACTTCTTAATTTTCGAAATCAATAACCGCTACATACTCTCAGCCAGATCATCAGTACGAGATGGAGTCATTCAACATTGAAATTTGATCCATCTTGTGATTGACCAAGACTAGCTAGGTGCAGGCCAGCAAACATGGTTTTACCAATGTTTCCAGAAATCGCATGTGCTTTTTATTTTTCGCGATCTCGTAGGCAACTTCGTATGACGCATCTGTTTGGTTCTGGAAACTTCCAGTCGCGTCTAATCTTGCTCCTTTCAAATTGACCTCTTTGAGCTCGAAAAGTGCAAGATCCGTCTTTTTAAATTTTGGATGGCTGTTTTCAAGATGTCGTTTCAATTGGAATGGTTTCATGGAGCCGTTCCCCAAAGTTTTCAAACAAAGCACACATTGAGGTAACTGCTCTTCATTCTGGATCAGAAAGAGAAACCCGAAGTCTAAGTACGAAACTTGATAATGGCGTCTTTTCTTTTTTGGACATCCTATTCTGAAAAAAATGAAAAGAAAATAATAATATCTAATCGTGTCTTAAAACTTGGAAATGTTAAACAAATATAAAATTCTGTGTATATTATTTCTGAGATGAGGTATTATGTACATTATTTACATTATTCGGACTATTGTCCTCATCTTTGTCGCCATATTTATCACAACGTTTCGGCTGTTGTACGCTCCGGCCTGCTTCATGTGGTTGGAATTTCGAACTGAACCCTTTATTTCGCTCACTGGGGTAGACTGTTCTAGTTCCATGTTTGATGGATGTCAGTTATCAGTTGTCAGTTGCTAATTTCCCTCTGAAAGTTCTCCACTGCCTTAACCGGGTATTGAACTCACATTTTTTGGGTCCTGTCACTGGATCTAACCAACGCCTTTATCCACTGTGCAACCTGAAATGTATCCTTGAGGACATCTGGGTATGAATTTCTGGGTATTATAAACCTAATATCTTCAGCAACCATTTTTACCAGTGCTCATATTGCAATTTTGCTGTTATCATTTCATGTTTTTACCAGAGCTCATATTGCAACTTTGTTGTTATGATTGCTTTTCTCTGACACTCCCTATTACTGGTTCCCATATTTTATTTATTTCTATGCTTAGTCAGCTCAGGAGATTTTTTTGTGGCCTAGCATATGTGCTGATTCCTTAAGTTTACGAATTTTCCAATGGTGTTCCTTGTCTATGATCTCAACATGATCCCACAGAGGGCGGTGATCTCCCTTCTCTCTCCATATGTGGTCAGCCACGCCTGATTTTTCTACTTCCCCTCGTGTTACAGCTTTCTGGTGTTCTTGAAGCCTTACCTTGAGGGGGCGGCCTGTCTCTATATTCCTTTCCGCAGCTGCACGGGATAGCGTACACACAGTCTTTAGTCATGTTCTCCTCTATATAAAATTACACGTACAAAGGCAAGCAAATATAGCTCGCATGGTAAACGATCTGATCCCAAATGGTAAACAATGATAGACTAACACAGGTTAAATACGCCATTAAAAAACTTCAAACCGCCATTGGCTGTTTGCTGAGTTGATTGTTATAAAATCACACAAAAAACGCAAATAACACAAAATCTCCTTCAAAATCATTTGCCCCCTAAGAACCTGAAATTCACTCAAGGGGGGAAATTTTTCCTCGGTTTCCTGCTGGTTTAAACAGACATCAAAATATTGATTTGACTGATACCTTATTTTTCTGTCGTATATTTTGGCCATTTTTGTTTTGTTTTTTATTCAAACGAAAATTTTAAAATTGTCCAATTTTTTTCAATGAAATTTTGTTTCCAAAATTATAGTTTATTCTAAATCTATTTTTGCATCTATGAAGAAGACAAATGGTACTAATTTAAATTGACACCAGAATGTCGGTTAATATAAAAACAAGTGTTTTGTTTTGTATATTAAAACATTTTGCAGAACAACCAATTTTCCTCTCATTTTATCTATTTTCGATCACACGGAAAGATGAGAATTTTTTAAATCACACATTCTCTATTGATTTCATATTTTCTAAAATAGTACTACCGTAGAGGAAATTATTCACTCTTATCTTTATTGTCTTTTAAATGTTTAGATATAAGCAAAAAAAAAAGAAAAAGAAAAAAATGATGTCTGTTTGAATTGCCACCAGAAGAAAATGTCTCTTTTTTTGGTGGGGGCCGATTCTTAATAAATGAAACAACTGAATTTTCTCTTTAAAAATGTACTTCTTCAACCTAAATTATCGTTTCTAGATTCTTGGAAGAAATTTTCCACTCACGACGTTATCGACAAGACTTTCGCAGCTTCCTGGTAAAACATGATGTCGTCGCGCCTCTACAGTTTTTGGAAGCCACCAGCGGGTTGAAGCACTTCAAAGATGGTTCAGAAAAGCAGTTGGCGCATGCGCAGAAGATACGTAAGAAGTTCTTCGGCAAAGAAGCTGATTTCGGTAAGGCATTTCTTTGAAATTTAATTTCTTGCTTGGATGCTTCCAATACTAGCCAACAATTCGAAGCAAAATTCCTGGAAATTGGGCAACAGATGAAAATTTCTTATCCTAATTCTTAGTTCCAAACATTACCATCAAATGATTCTACTGATGGGCGAATGCATATGCATTTAAACAGCATCGGAAAGAGCCATTACTGCGAGACTCAGAACAGAACATTTGTGTATATATATATATATATATATATATATATATATATATATATATATATATATATATATATATGGGTGTGTGTGTGTGTGTCATCTACAGACAGACTGATTCGCTGTATCACAGCTCATCAGTGTGGCTAGACGTCTAGCTAGGATCGAAACACGGCTCAATTACCATCAGTCGGAGATTCTGCTCCTAAGCCGTTGGTGCACGGCAAGAATGAATTTAGGCGTATTTATTTTTAGATAAACACACAGTGACCGAGAGAACTCGATTCGCTTTACCGAAGAGTCTTTCATTATCACCAGTAATAGTCACTGTTTACAAACTCACACTTCCTCTCCAGAGAGCTCAACTGAAATAAATTTTTCAACAGCATATATATTGTCATCCACAAACTGTTTCGCTGTATCACAGCTAATCAGTGTGGCCAAACGTCCGGTTGCCTCGAGCTAGGATCGAAACCCGGCTGAAGTGGCGTCAGTCGGAGATTCT